ACTTCTACAATGGCGGAATAGTTTGTAGATGTTTTATAGGTGGGTAAAAACTAATCAAATCACTGGTATCAATCATAAAGTTAGTAGCCTCTGTTCAATGTACTACTTATTTTTACAAACAGAAAAGAATTGGGGTGGGTCATTGGTAACCCGCTGGGCTTACTGGGGAATTTTAGGACGTTGATAAGGGCGGTTTAGGGTGGCTCAACCCTCGGCGGATCGTAGTATCGGCCCTCTGACTACGCTGAGTATAAATTTATTTTCGCCAAGTATCGATTTGTTCGAGAGAATTATTGATCGTCAAAGAATCGTATATTTCCAATCGCATCACCTTCCCACGATTCGGATTAGTTTTTTGGAGGAAAAAAATTAATGCCGGTATCTTTGATAATTTAAATAATAAATAAATTGATTGGAACTGAAAACCGCTCATTAAACAGAATGAGGAAAGGTACGATTGTACTTGAATCAGGTACATTGAGTGTCGTTAACTGAAGATAAACATTTGTGTATTATTTTGTGTATTCGTAATAGATATTAGGGTGTGGGAAAATCAATTCTTTATCGGTATTACGATTGAAAAATATATGCCAATATCTCAGCCAAAAATCAAGTTAAATGAATAAATCGGTAGGCGGAAAAAATATCCCCGGAAAAAATAGCCCACACACCCAAAACGGGTTAAAACCCACCCAATTTGATAGACCATAGGAAAATTAGAGCCCCTGAAAAAATAGACAACGAAAAAAATAATTAAATTAAAAAATAATTAAATTGAGCGGGTTTTAACACGTTTTGAATGTGTGGGATATTTTTTCCCTTGGATATTTTTTTTGGGATTCGAATAAATCGGGTACCTAGACAACGAACAAGAGTCGAAAATTCGTATGAAAAATAGCTAGAAGGGAAATGGCAAAGTCACACCACGAAATAAAAGGTGTCTGGTGATAATCCCTGTAATCAAGATACCAAAAACAACAGCGATATCGACCATATGACGAGTGAGGCCTCAGTCAGGGTGAAACACTCCCGAGTTTCTAAGCCAAAAGGTGCTACACTGAGAAACTAAATTTTTATGGCAAATAAATGGTATTGTGTCCGTAAGTATAATGAAATTAGAGAAAGTTATTCTTTTGGACGGAGCATATGTAATTTGTAATTACATATTGTAATTGTATATTGAGCTTAAAATATGAAAATTAGTAATTGCTTTAATAGCACAAATATTGTTGTCTTATCAGTAAAATTACATATTCATTGCGGTATTTGATGAATACTTGACGAATACTTGAAACTATTTCAAAATTCCCACGTGAAATCGCAGGGAAATAACCGCAATCTATGGCTTTATTGGCTTCAAGTCATTCTATCTTGTTACAAATATTCGATTTCATGTCATAATCTAATTAACTTGATAAAAACCGGTAAGTTTCCTTACGTGCGCAACAAATATTCTTCATGGCAGAAATTTTGTTTTTCAGTGTATGCCCGGAAGATAATCCCTCGTGCTTTTAGGAACGCAATGGCGAAGTGCAACTTGAGAATTATGGATTTTATTCTTTCTTCTCCGTGTCTCCTATACGGAGAGAAATACTCAATAAAAATGGAACTCACAATTCGCTCACTGATTATGAAAGCCATTCAGACAATTTAAGTGGTGGAATAGGAATTATTGACTTGAAAATTCAGACAAAAATGATAGAACACTTTGAAAAAATTCCGTACAATTTTTCTGAATTACATTTAGAACTATGTCAAAAATACGTAACATTTATCAAATAATATTTCTTCCTCATTTATTGTACTGTAGTACAACCGTAATTTTTCCCCCGATTTTCCTCACTACATCATCATAACATGAACTTATCTAATCGATATCAACAAGATCAGATACAAAATAATAGAAATATCCTCGCATATTGTATCCTTTCTGGAAATCATAGCGCAGAAATTATAATGGAGAGTCAATTAAACGATAATTATTACTCGGGCGTTGAACGAACGCCTGTAACAAGAGGAAATAATACGATGATTAATTATTTCACGTACGTGCACACGTGGCGGGGAGATATCGAAGTTATAATACGAGTATATTCGAGCTGAACAACTTAATAACTTGATAGTCCATTACGTAGTGCACATGGCAGAGTCAACGTTCGATCATAAATATAAAGGCAACTGATGTATATAAGCACAATCTCATTATAATGTACATCACATGAAAAAACACTATACTTGAATCTCGTATATTTTATACCTAAGTAAAGTACGAAAGGAAAGGACTAAACTATTGAAAATTTAAGATTAATTTCTCATCTTAAATGATAAATGATTCTTAATGAAATTTTTACCTCACTTGAATATCTAGGAAATTAACAGATTCGTTAAGAAAGAAATTTACCGAAATTTCATGTTACTTTGTAATTGTGACAAGTGTCAAGTTTGTTTTAGTATATGACCATGTACTTATTTAAAATAAAAATTGCGTGACTAAAAGGAGTACAAGATATACTCGATTCGAACATTTTCTCCCTGGTAAATACCACAAAATATATATGTAATAAAAAGCGATATATATGTGATCTACATATCAATCAAGCGCGCAGATAGTTCAGCAAAAACCGTATTATATCAGATATATGGTAAATGTATATGAGAACACCGTAACTCCCGTTTATACGTGAGATACATTCACCACAAAAATGCAATACGCCACATCTAATTATCACCCCCTATATTTTTGCACGCGGGTATTTTCAATTCCCGGCAGCGTAAAATTCATGGTTCTCCAGTCTCGACAAAAAAAGGAAACGCACAGCTGACAATGATACCTAGGAAAACATTCGCTACATACACTTACAGCCATATAATATATAAAACGATGTACCTCCTCCCCCAATAGTCGTAACCGCCTTCGGCGTAAGGGTTCAGCCCCTCTTTCGTCATATGCACATAAATATACGTTCGTTATGGCATTATTTCTAGTTTTGCAGACGACAGCATCGGCAGGTACACAGCAGAAGCAGTTTTGAGATAATAAATAATAAAAATGAGAAAAAAAACAGAAAAAAAAACTAAAAGAAAAATAAAAGAGGAGAAAGAGATGGAATAATGAGCAACCTCCTTACAAAGGTCGGTTGAAGGAAGTGAGACAACATTGGAGTGAGGGATTATAGTGTATAGGTGTGTAAAAAAAAGAGAGAAGATACAGTTGTTCACTATGAAAATATAGCCGTTAACGATTATATATACGGAATTTCCCACCCCTTTGGGAGGCCACCTACACAAAATATCCGGGATTTCTCGTTATATTGTGTCCCCCCTTTGAAAGCGATGTGGCAGAGAGGCAAGGGGATCCTTTGAAACAAAAGACGTCGCGAAGGCGCGCCCTGATTGGCCCCGTGGCTCGCGTACTGCGGTCCTGATTGGCCCGTGGAACCGCACCCACCCTGCAATGGCTGCTTTGTCAGTGTGTACGCGCCACTACGTTCAATGCGCACCCCTGCACGCGCTTTCTATACCCCCCTTCATTTCATCCACCTCCACCACCTCTCCTCATCCCTTCAAAATCTCCTCACACCACTCACCATTCCCTATACCCCCTTTTCAACCCCCTGCCACCCCTTCTGCTACCATTACGGGCTAAATCCGAGTTCAACTCGACGAATGCCTCCACTCGGCGATTATTTCAAAATATACGGTAAACCCTCCTCTTTTCACTCCAAATGCTTAAGCTTCAATGTCCCCGCTCGAGCTATCCATGTGTTAGTTTATTTATATATTCGACTTTACGTAATATGTCCGGTTTCTGCAGTGGGTGGACCGAAACAAAGTTCTGACATTCTGTGTCTTTGTACACGGCCAAATTATGTACGTGATTCTAGTGAATTCTAGATGTGATTTGAGTGTACATGTTGTATGTAAGGACTATCGATTGCTGCACTTGTTTTAAATGGAATGCGTATTTTGTATTAAGTGGAAGGTAGATTAGATTGCAGTATATCAGTTGATTTCTTTCAGGATTTTTTTGAAAATATCTTTGAAAGCTACGGGAGG